TATTAAAGGTAGGGGTGTAAACGAGAGCTTGAAGTACCGAAGAGAACACGAAATATCTAAAATCACTCTCTATTTAAGAGTCGCCTTGTCCTTAAATTTAATAATAGTGTTTTGATAAATAATAATCTATTTAAAATAATATTTATTTTTTCTGATATTTTGGTACAGTAGATTGGCAGCAGAGTCTTCCTGAAAACAAATGAAAATAACAAAAACTGTGGTTGCCAACCCGCTTGCCAAGCGTGGCAACTATGGCAAAATTCCCCTTATGAGGCAATCTATGGGGAAGGGCTATGTTAGCTTTTATAGACTGTAATGGAAGGATAGAAGGATGGAGAGTTTCCTTCTTAAATAACTGAAGTGACAAACGAACCTACCTTTACGTCATGGGTAAGTGGTAACTGCAGCCCAGGAATACCTGAAAGCACGGTCAACTGATATTACATATATTTTGTATGGACACACTCACGCTATACCGAGTGGTAACTGAGTAACGGTCGAGCAACGGACAACGCTCGGCAACAACTGGGTCCCGGCTTGTAGGTGAAGATTTATCAGATTCTTCATCGTCCAGAGCGATCGCAGTAGCCACTAATTCCAGATCGTCAAAATTCAACATGATTGTAGTCTAGTTACAACACTATATTTGCTCGGACGAGTATACTGCATCATGACATATCGGTAGTGGCTCGGTCGAGGTCGAGGTCGATAATTACGGGCACGGGATCGGCTCAGTGACCGTGCTACGGCCAACACTCGGCTCGGACCCGACTTGGTCTAGCGTGAGCCATACTTAAATCTGCTATTTTACGCCGGTATTCTGTGAGAACGTGGTCCTTCCCTGGTCGAGTCGACCCATTCGTGCTACAACCATAATATAGCTGCAGCGTGGTTTTACTACGTATTACATTTAGATGGAATGCTTTACAACTTGTAATTATTCTGCTTCACTATATCCTTGAGGCCGGTACACAGCAAATCCCGCACTCCTGATAGAATATAACCATTTAAACTATATTGGGATTGTGATATTCCTTAGTCTTCTCAGCAGGGGAAAGAATAAATTGATGATATTCCGGAGTACCGCCGCTAAATTCGCCTTTTATATTTGAATTTCTCAGCTTTTCTTTTTCTTTACGAAGTTGAATCAATTAAGTAATTCACTGACACCTTTTACATTCCGGACACGATCTTTACAAACCATGTTCAGTCTAATATTTTCTTGTTTAAATCGGATACGATATTTTGTAAGAAGTATTTACAAAAACACCAAATATTTTAACATTATTGAACAGGATTATATTTAATACTATAGATATGCCACAGTTACGCACGAGTGATTTCTGGATCTAGACAACTGCACCATCTACCTTGTCCGGTTGTTTCTCAATTCAGAGTTTGTGTTTTCTCAATTCAGAGTTTATGTAAATTATATGGTTGACGTAGTGTTTTTCAGATGGATTTCCGCACAACGAAGTATGGCAAAAATTTCTGCCTGGAAGATAGAGCTGTATCTATCCAAATTTGTGCTAAGTTTGAATTTGGGGCGTTCATTATTAGTATTTTATATGAGTATCTTAGACCCATCGGTATACCATATGAGGCTACCGACCTCACCGATAACCTGGCCATTCAGCCAGTCTTCTTTGGAGGGTAATTCCACTATATACTTTTTATCAAAAGTGTGTAGTGGACGCATGATATCTGAGATCATGCATAAGACCGGTGATTCCTTAATTGAGTCCAGCATGGATCTCAATCTGTAAGAGAGCAAGCTCAGACCGCCCTGGGCGTTAATCAAGGAGCGAGGGGTGATCAAGGGGCGTTAGGCATAGAAGTGCATTAAGAGCCGCTCCAAGCGATGATCGCACAGCTCCAGTTGTCATTAAGCAGGCAGTCCTTTGTAGACTATTTAGTCTGTCCGCAGTCGTCTTTTGGTTGGCCTTGTTATACCAGACAATAGAGGCGTAGGTAAGAATCGGCCTCACTATGCTGCTGTACAGCCATAGGACCATACTGGGACGTAAGCCCCAGTTGTTACCGACCAAACGACTGCACGTACCTAAAGCAATTTTTGCCTTATGGCATACGTGGCTAAGGTGAGAGTTTCACGTTAGTTTTTGGTTGATTGTTACGCCCAAGTACTTAACTTCCGTGGAAAATGATACTTCTTTACCAATAAGTTTTGGTTGGACTAATTTGTCCAACCGTCTCTTTTTGGTAAAGGGTATTATAACAGATTTATCAGCATAACTGATAAACTGTTGTCCCTACACCAGTTATTTATGGTGTTTTGGGCTCTTTTGTATTATTGACGATAAAGTACTTTGGCCAAAACCCCTCGCAATGATCACAAGGTCATCAGCATAACCCAGTGTGTCAATGCGAGACGCATTTTTAAAGCTAAATTAAAATGGTGTCAAAATAATCAGACACAAATAAAAATGGACATAATAGCTGAACACCACAAAAGAGAGAACTTCGGTCAGTTTTGGAAAGCCACCAATAAAATGAATCATAAGTTGAGCCTTCCCGTGAGTGTTTCGGGAGCTTGTGATCCTAGTGATATTGCTAAGGTGTTCATAGAATACTTTAGAGTGGAATCACCACTGGGACCGGCAGAGCCGCTGGTGTCTAATGCTGAGGCAGGTAGTCTGAAGCGTAGTGTATTTTTTACCGCCAAAGATGTAGCTAGTCATTAAGGGCATGGTGAGAGGCAAGTCGCCTGGGCATGACCACCTCAGCATTGAACACCTGCGGCATGCTGGAGTTCAATTGCCAAGGGTTTTGTCCTTGTTGTTTAATTTGTGTATTGGGCATTCATATCTCCCTGACAAATTGATGCGAACTATTGTTATTCCTATTCCAAAAAACAGGACTGGTGACGCCTCTGATGCGTCCAACTATAGGCCCATCTCCCTTGCTTCTGTGATCGCTAAGGTACTGGACAGTTTGCTTAACGGGTTACTGGATAAGCACATCACGCTCAATGATGCTCACCACCAGGTCTTTCTACCGAGAGTGCTATCTTGTGTCTCAAGCAGACTGTTCAGTATTACACAGCAAGGAAGACACCTGTGTTTGTTTGCTACCTGGACCTATCAAAGGCGTTTGACTTAGTAGCTTACCAACGCATGTGGGATAAGATGAGATCTGTGGAACCCCTTTGAAAAAAAGTTGAGACCTTTAAGTATCTGGGCCACTGGATCACAGATGACCTGAAAGACAACCAGGATATTGAGAGGGAGCGGAGGTCGCTGTCTGTCCGCTGTAATATGTTGGCCCGCAGATTTGCTAAATGTACTGACGAAGCAAAGATTACGCTTTTCAAGGCTTACTGTCAGTCATTTTATACGTGCAGTCTGTGGGTTAACTTAACGCAGAGGGCATACAGTGATCTTCGCGTATAATACAATAACGCGTTCCGGGTATTGATGGGGCTGCCGCGTTTCTGTAGCGCTTCTGCTATGTTTGCGGAGGCTCACGTAGATGGTTTCACCGCCATAATGCGTAAACGTTGCGCTTCACACCTTAGGCGCATTCAAGACAGCCCCAACAGTATCTTGTGTGCTTTGGCAGACCGTTGGGACTCGCCGATGCTTGCTCGATGGATACGGCTGCACGCAGTCAAGTAGTCATCTTGCGGGCGGGGCCGGGTGCCATATTTGTTTGTGTGGTTTTTCTGTTTGTCCTTGTTTTATGTTATGTGTTATGTTTCAATTGTCAATTACTAACATTAGTTATAAGCTCTAAAAAATTGTTACTAACCTATAATATGGATCATGATGTCCGAAATAAACGTTTATTATTATATTATTAATGCGTAGTTCTGCCATTTTGTACAATAGATATCTAATATTAGATCTTTATAAGTTAACAATTTTCTTTTATATATTTTTGATTTCAATAAAACAAAAATGATCGCCTATGCAATTGAATCGTGTCTGCACACGCAGTGGCAGTTTACTGATGCCCTTCTTGGACGGGGAGGCAACAAATTCTTCAAAGGCATTTTGTACTGCCTCTGGGATAGTAGAATGTCTTCCCCACAAAAAAAGTTATTCAAATTCTGGTAAAAGTAGAAGTCTGAAGGCGCAAGTTCTGGTGAATACGGTGGAATGACGGAGAGCTTCCAACCCTAACTCTTGTAACTTGAAGACCGTCTGTTGTACAGTATGAGGTCGCGTTATCGTGTAGGTGCAGCAACGACGAGTGGTTGACCAAAGCTGGTTAGAGGTGTGCGAGCTTCTCCATCATTGTGTTCAGTTTTTCACAGTACACATCTGCAGTAATGCTCATCACGTTTAGTAGGAAGCTGTGATGATTCACACTGGCGTTAGACAACCAAATAGTGACCCTCACTTTCTGCCGTACTCAGAGAGCTTCATTAAATTAGCCCTAATGAATACTTATCAAATTACCATTATCTTCGTTAATGAGTGATGCGTCCCAGAGACTAAATTTAATGGTTCATTAGCTAATCAGTTACTTAAGGATGCATGTGGTCGTACTAAGCAACATCGATAGATGTCGATAAATCGTAAGGGTTGCTATGTAAAAAAATTGGTTTACGGAAATAATAGTTTTCCGTCTTTATTCTATGCAAACGTATTAATACATATTACTAAACACTTCAGTGTGGCTTTTTCTAGCACATAAAATATAAAAAGTATTTTCAAACCGTACACATCACCATAATAACTGAAATTACAAATTTATTTTTTTACTGTGGCAAGTGACACTAGATAACAGATGTTAGGATAGGAGTAAACGTTAATGGTATTATCGAACAAATATTCTAACATTTACCAGAGCTTTGTTATTTGTTTCGTATCGTGTTAATTTTTTGTTAATTTCGTGGTAGTATAGGATTCTCGAGTTTCGTTGCAGTATAGGATTGTCGTGGTGTATTCTGTGACCCCAATCTTTTATATCAACGGTACCCGCGCACCATATCCAACATATTATAAGTTGGATAGATAACAAGTGACTAGTAAAATATGGTAAGTAGTTAAACTAGGTACACTAAATTGCGCTTTTTATACCAGACGAGATTAAGTAATAAAATTAAAGTGCGTTTACTTTTTAGGATGGACTGCCGAAAACACCACGCTCTAGAGTGCCTAATTTCACCAGCGATGAAAAGGCCCTATTAGCAGCATTAATAAAGAGTAAACCAATTGTGGAGTCGAAAGCAACTGACGGCAGGTCATTTGAAAAAAAGAAAGCTGTATGGGAGTCCATAACGCAAAAGTTTAATTGCCAAGTTTATGTTCACAAGGTACATAAACTTACACTTTCTTTAAACATTTTATAAGCTATCTGGATCCTTGGTTCCTATAAATTACTAAGATGTGTTGTTTGTTATTTGTTATGTTCTTGTACCTTACTAAATGAAAATAATATTTACTTCCAGCGTGATAGCATTAATTTAAAGAGGGCATGGGATAATATGAAGGCTTTTACACGTAAAGCTCGTGCAGCTGAACGGTAGTTTATTTAAAACTGGAGGGAGACCTTCTGAACCTACACCACCACACCAAGGAGCCATTATAAGCATAGTAGAAAAAGTAGGTATAATTCAAAATTTTGTTTAAAAATAAAGCATTAGCAGCTTTTCTGTTACATTATTATTATTTTCAGGCAGCACCTGTTATAATTTGTGAAGTTAAAAATTCATATGACAGTGATGGATACCTATTAAGTTCACTTGGAGAGGAGGAAGTGAAATCCAGTGATTGCAAAATAGGTGTGTTACATTATAACTTTATATTTTATTTATAAAAATATGACCCAAATCATCTACACTCTCTCTCTTAATAAAAACGATCTCTTTAAAATATCTACCAGAAAGCTAAAGAGCTAGGTGCTAGGTTTCCAATACTACAGTTCTATTATCCTCATATGCTTAACTTAAAGTGTATAATCTTTAGTGATTGTGACTCTTGATTATTAGATGAATGACCAGAAAAATCCCTTATTGATGTCTGACTGAACTCAGTTACAAATAACACAGGTAACATATAAAGAAAAAACTTCTTTTCAATAGTTAATGTGTAAAATACTGTTTGTGTGTATTTTACATGTTTTAACACATATTTTTTCATCAGCAACTCAAGATCAATACAACATTCTATTCAGCCAAACTGATTGTGTTCCTCGAAAGCCTGCCGATTATGTGAGAAGAGGTGTTCTAAGATTAAAAAAATTGGAAGTAAAAAAACGACTGGAGGAAAAAATTATTAAATTCAAAGGTATACATTATAATAATTTACTAGCTATCTTTAAGCCAGCATACAGCAAACTCACATCAGGTTTTATTTTAGTTTGTTAGTTTTATTTCATTTAATAGGTTATTTTATTTTTAGCAGATATATTCATATATTTAATGTATAATTTTAGTTGAAAATAAATAAATAGTTGACTTTAAATATATCCCTATAGCTCAGCCAAGTAAATATCATATTACTATCAGATCCCAGCGGTTTTAATTTCATCTACTGTCCCCCTAGAAACAGAACATGTAACCTAAATAAAGATTAGTCATCCAAATACCTGTACATAGCTGTAATATGTAGTTTCAATAACTAACTATAAACTAATATATATTATTTTCTTTTACAGTTGGCTACCCAAGAAATAAAAAACAGGCTGCAGAGCTAGAATTACAGAAAAATAAAATACTTTTGGAAAAAGCTACATTAGAATTGGAGATTTTAAATAACACTACAAAATAAAACCAGTGCTTAGTTGAATTGTGTTTTATTTTAACCTTGTTTGTATCTTTATTTTATTGTAGAGCCATGCTGCAGTTATATTAGTAGTATAGTTGTAGCACGAATGGGTTGGCTCGACCAGGGAAAGACCACACTCTCGCAGAATACCAGCATAAAATAGCAGCTTAATGCTGATGTGTTTCGTGTGGTGAGTGTAGAGAACCGGATATCCTTATTACTGGAATATATATGTTTGTATCATGAACATAATTTACTTGATTGATATCTTCCATTGTAGATAGAAATTTTACAAACATTTTCATTTGTAATGCTATTGAATTAGACACAGTAGTTATAATTCTTGATATTGACTGTTGGCATACGTTCATGACGTCTCCGTCTAGTTACTGCAAGTAAGTGATCGATTTATTTAATTCAGTCATACGAGTATATCCTGTATCTGTGCACCTTGCTATAAACATACAGTGATGTGTACAGATATAGTGACCAGGTTGTGCAGCAATAATTTATAAGAGGTAATTTATAAAACACTGTGTTATACACACAGTTTTGCGTAGTATCTCAATGTAACGAGAATCATTATTTCTGGAGCAAACGGCAGATCTTTGTTGCTAGTTTTTTTATATATGGTTCTAACATTGGCATAATGGTATTTTTTATTGCGTGAGGGGTAAACCGATATTGTGAGTAAAATTCTTGAACAGTATACTTCTGAAATCCATCCGAACAATCACGCAAATAACGTCCTGGTCCTCTTTTTCTAAATCTTGCATAGTCCACAAAATCAATAAACTCTTCATAATCTGACATTTTCTCAAAACATCACAATTTGATTATAATAAACAAATCCTTGAAAACAACTACGCATTCACACATAACCTCACAAATTGACCTGTCATCATTAACTCACTCTGAGAGTCAACTTTTTTAATCTTTACTTAGTGACGGCTTAAGTAATCATTAAACGTCTCTGAGTTCGTCAGTTTGCTAGTGAGTTTTCGATTTGAGCATCATTTTGATGCTGAACCAGGATCCAACCTACTTGCTGAGCGCTTGCTATTGTCTACGGAATATTACGTTATGTACGACGTGAAATACACAGACCGGCTACGACTACGGGATGCATTTTGCATTGCTGTCGTTAACCCACCTACCTATGGGACGATTAAGCCAAACCCTATAATACGGATCAATATGAACCGATGATGAATAAAGAAATTCACCGTTGCTCGCCGAACTTAATTTTTTGATTAAAATCAATCTAATGCACGTAGTGCGCTTTAATTGAAAGTACCTAAATAAACTGAACTGGTTATTTGAATAAAAAATCATAAGTGCAATTAGTTTAATTAAAATTTTCGTGTTTTTAAAAAATACTTAAAAAAGGACTCGAAAAAAAAGATTTTCTCAAAAAAGAAAGGAGCATGAAAAAAAAATTAAAAAAAGTCGGTCGGTCGGTCTGGGCTCGAACCATGGTATTACGATTTTGTGACCGCTCAATATACCAATTAAGCTATTCGTAATCATTAATAAACTGTCAAAATTTACCTTCTTATTCTAACGATATTGTAGCAGTTTTTCATTGCTTAAAAACACGGACAAAAAGACATTTTCTAAAAATAAATCCTAGGTAGATCGATTTAGTGCCCCCGAAACTCGTTGGAGCAGTTTCCGAGATTCCGATTATATATATATATATATATATATATATATATATATATATATATATATATATATATATATACAAGAATTGCTCGTTTAAAGGTATAGGATTTACGAAAATTAACTGCACAGAATGGAGGGGGATTTTTTTTTCAATATATGTCACAAGTAATTCTTACCGAAAATAATTTTTCACAATTATCATAAGTTCCGAAAAAAACCTCTATCCTGGGAAGAACCAGCAGGAGACTCAGTGAAACTTTTTTTTAAATTAAACACAGTACGTTATATTATATAATAGAAAAGAATATTTTTATTCAATATGTGTTAATATTTAATTATTATTGAAAGTAATTTTTTACTTTTATCACTAGTTCCTGAAAAAACCTGTATCCTAGGATCAACCAGCAAGCAACTCAGCGAAACATTTTTAAATTAAATTATACAATATGAAAGATTGTATAAATTGTTTACAAAATTAACTTTAGAAACAGCAATTCTATTATTAAATAGACTTTGTTTAATTAAATATATTATATATATATATTCTGAGACTTTATAACTATAGAATTACATTTGGTAACCAAAACAATTACATTTGGTTCACGATTTGTGCAGGTAAACTTCGAACACGCCACATACCTTGCCTTCTATTCAGTTTCAGCAATATTCGACTAAGTAAAGACGTCTCTACTAAAAATATCACAATCTTAGTCATCTAATTAGTTAAATTCAAAACTCGAATTGAAAAACTTATCTTATTGAAGTCTGCTATAAAGGTGACGTGACATTAATTTTGATTACGTATATTAATGTACAATACATTTAAATAAACCCCATTCACCAGTTCTCTCCAAGGGACACACGGAGCGGAAAAATATCGATGAATGAAATATCAATTACATTTAAATTTTACGACGTATTCTCAACGCTAGTTGTGGACCCTCAATATATAAAATCTGATTTATATGAACCCTAGCCGAAGTGATAGAGAATATCCAGATATATATACATACATATGACATTCATATTTTCTTGTATAGAATAAGGTTGGCAAGCGAGCACACAGTCCACGTGATGGTAAGTGGATGATGAGGCCCATGGACCTCCACATTTGTCGTCGTTTAGGGATAAAAATGAATATGCGTTGTCACGTCTGAGAACTTAGATAGAATGTCTGGTCACCTGTAAAAAGGGTCACTGGTTCTCTACACTGACCGTACGAAACAGCAGCCTTAAGCCGCTGCTTAATGCTGATATTCTATAACAGCGTGATCCTGTCTCGTTCCAGCCGACATTTTCGTGCTAAAACCATAATATTGCTGCAGCGTGGCACATTTCTTTTAATTGTGAGTAGTGTTTACGATTCATGGTAGCTCAGATGGTTAGCGCTCGTTGTTAATTTCACAGTATGCGAGCAAACCGGATTCAATCCCCGCCGTCACCAATGAAATAGTTGAAAATGAAATTCACCAATTAATTTGTGCTCGGCGGTGAAGGAAAACATCGTGAGGAAACCATGTGAAAGGCATGTGAAGTTCGCTAACACGCATTGAGGCAGTACGCCGGTCAATTCCTTGCCCTAAAACCCTCTCAGAAATGAACGAAATACTATGCCCAGGAGTGCGGCGTATTTCAAAATTTTACGATCACAATTATTATAAATATAAACCTTCGATCTATATATTAAATATGACTGTTTGATCAGGACTAGGCACTGTCGAAAAATCTTAGTGGTTTTTATCACTGCCCTTGATTATTGTATCAGATTTAGCAGCCTCTAACTAGATGGAGTGACAACCTGGTAAGATACGGGAAGTCGTTGAACGTAGGTGGTTCATGACTAACGTGACCAGACGTCCCGTTTTGAACGGGATTGTCCCTTTTTATAGTTACGAGTCCCGGTGTCCCCGAAATGAACTCTGGGACGCAAAATTGTCCCGTTTTCTGAAACCGCGCGAAAATGTAAGTAGTTGATTCGAGCTAGCCGGACGGCCGCCGTGCCGGCGCGGCCGGACCACAGAGTACTTTTTTAGGCCGGACGCCAGTAGTGTGCTAGAGCAACACCACTTGCTTGCACTTCGCTTCGCCACTTGCGACGATAGCTGAGAGTGGCGAAGACGTCATCGCTCGCGTTTTGTTAACTAATTTTTTGACAGATTTTTCGTTCACCCACTTCTCGATATTTGTTTTGTTGTTGTTGTTTGTTGCTTGTGTACCTAGTAAATAACTTTTGTTTTGGAATCATAAGTTAAAATGCTGAAACGCAAGTATACGTTCAATGTTAACTTACCAGCAAAATATCCGTTTATCAAGTAAATAAATACTCTCTCAGATGTCAGATGTGGAAAGTTTCGTACTTCGTACGGAATTTAGCGTTTCCCACAGTGGTGCCAGGGATATTGAACAGCATTTAAATTCTAAAAAACATAAAAATGCTGATCGTGCCGCCGCTTTGAGCTCTTCATTGTTAACCTTTTTCAAGAAATCTAACGCACCAACTTCAAAAGATTTAGATATCGCCGCGACAGAAGGCGTCTGGGCTTATTACACGATACAAGAAAACCACAGTTTTCGCTCTAATAATTGTGCATCGAAATTAATTCAATCATGTTTTGATCCCAAATTTACATGCGCGCGTACGAAATCAAACCTATTACAGTAAATATTTTGACACCTGGTGCGATTAAAGAATTAAAAAAGATGATCTTGATAAGTCCAATTGTATTACAATTGAAGAATACTGAACAACTGCAAACCACAGTAACAAGAAAATGTACCCTATTCTAGTGCGGTTTTTTTTCAACCTTATGTAGGCGTGAAAGTAAAAATTTTGGATCTCCAAGACCAATCAGGTGAAACTTCCAACATCATTGTCAATTACTTAAACCAAGTGTTGACAGATAATAATTTGACAGCAAAAGTCGTGTTATTTTGTGGGGACAATGCCAACGTCAATTTCGGTGGCGCACCTAGGCGAGGAACTAACAATGTGTTAACGAAATTACAATCATCTCTAAAGCCGTTAATAGGTATTGGATGTGGAGCCCATGTAATTCACAATAATTAAAATCTGCTGCAGACAGGCTACCCTTAGATTACGAAAGCATTATTATTAAGATATATTCATTTTTATGACGATTTTTATGACGACACAATTCGACTTGAAGCTCTAAAGGAGTTTTGCACCGAAACTGGAACGGAATATCAACAAATGCTCGGCTATAGCAAAATCAGATGGCTTGCTCTTATGCCTGCCTTGGAAAGAGTTTTAAAAATTTTGCCTTTAAAAATGTCCCCTGTTATTAAAAATTTTTTGAAGATCCCACATCCGAATT